CTTTTTGTTGTTTGGATGTACAAGTACCCGGCCACGTCCACTTGTATTTGTAGTATTTGTATTTTTATCCATCTGATGAGTTAAGCCTCTTTCAACTGATTTTTATAGTTCGTTCTTTTGTTGTACTGTTACACCACTGTCTCAGGTTAGGGGGAGGGTTGGGATCCCGCTAACATGTTTAACCCCGCCACATTCTGTATGTATGTGCCTGTCCCAAATCAGGAGCCTGTAATTCAGTGGTTGTCGTTTGTTCATGTGTTACATATTATTTTTCGTTCATTTTTTGGTACATAAATTAGGCCGTTAGTTTTCTCGTTTGAATTGTTTTACATTGTCATTTGGGGCCTTTTATAGCTGACTGTGCGGTATGAGCTTTGCTCATTGTTGAAGGCCGTATTGTGACCTATAGTTGTTAATTTCTGTGTCATTTGGTCTCTTGTGGAGAGTTGTCTCGTTGGCAATCATACCACATCTTCTTTTTTATATTTAATTTAAAACTTAGAAATAGACTATAATTTTTCAACTTTGACCCTATTGAAAAATTATTATAACTACAACTTAGATTTATATTTATCCTTGTTGTAAAAAATAAGATTGTGAAATAGACTATTTGATTTACAACTTCGAAATAGACTATAATTTTTAACTTTGACCCTATTGAAAACTTGGATTCAGATTTATCCTTGTTGAAAATAGACTCCTAAATTTAAAACTCAACTTGGAACAAATTTTATCCTTGTTGAATATGGTATTCAATATTAATATAGCTCAACTTGGATTTTATTTTATCCTTGATGAAAATTTGACTTAAATATTTCTATTTTAACTTTCAACTTAGATTAGAATTAATCTTTGTTGATGGATACCCCTATACTATTTTATTTCAACTTGGATTTATATTTATCCTTGTTAATATATATTCAAATTTAATATATATTTTCTTTTCAACTTGGATTAAAATTTATCCTTGTTGACATATATTTGGATTTAATAAATATGTTTCTTCAACTTAGATTAGAATTTATCCTTGTTGAATTTAGAATTACTTAAGTATATACTATTAGCTTAATTAATCTCACCAAGTGTACTTTTCTTTTCTTTCACCTTTTGTCAAAGAGTCCTTTTTTACTATGTTTAGTTTAGTTTTTTTTTTTTTATATGTGTGTAAACAAATATGGACAGTACCAATTTTAAAATATTTTTACTTATTACTTGCGGGCCTAATAAAATATTCACGTAGATTCTTAAAATTTTCTTTAAAAAGAAAACTAAGTCCGCTGCCACCAGTGTAAAGATTGTTCTCAATCTTAATTACAACTATATACTAGTAGTCTTTAGATATTCAATCTCTGTAAATTACCTTTGCCAGTATTTTCTGACTAAATAATAACTAAACCATCTTCACGAAATTGAAATTATATTATCATTAAATCACTGCAATAAATAGAAGTACAATAAATATGTTTTTAACGGTTTTCTGTAAATGTGTTTGTATGTCAAATTATTTTCCTAAAGGTATCCGTAAAGCTGAGTTCAAATTCTAATCATAATAATGTTTACAATGGGAAATCCCCTTTTAATATGCCAAATCACACAATAACGTTGCGTGCAAGAAAATATGTCGCTAAAGGTCAAGGTTAATAATGTAAATCACTGTCAATACGTACATAAATATTGGATTATATAGAACGCAAGCACGGTTTCATTCGTCTTGACACCGATATTGCATTATAAAGCATGTAAATAGCAGTAACTAAAGAAATGTAGTATTAATAACAAGTTAGAAAACAGAGATGTTATTCGAATGCCACAAGTTGGCGGAATTTCGTAACGCAAAATCGGCAACTGTCAAATTTGCCGCGAACGACGTTACATTAACACAAAGATATTTAACATACACAACAGATGGATAGAAACTTTATATAGCAAATATTATCAGCTAGACAAGATCTACAAATAGAATAATTTTTGCAGAAATCGTTAGTAGACTCTTTACAGGAGTAATTGCCCTTGAATGACATTTTTGTTTGTATTTTGGCAAAAACTAAAGAAGTCAGACAGAAACTGAAAAAATATTAGCAATATAAGATCAACAAAAAAGAGATTTTTGTCATGAATTCCATTCTGGTTTACATTTTAAGAGAGTGTCCGTTTTTGAAGATGCACATAGATCTAGTTGACCTCGTTAGAGCCTTTAGTTTGTTTGCGTCTTTTCAGATTTATTTGTGTGTTTGTTTCAATTGTGTTGTATGTATGTAATGTATGTTAACTACAGGTTTGGCTGCTGGATCCCAATTGGTGTGTCAAATTTACAAATTATGTCTCTCTGGGTTGCTCAACCAATTTTGTTAATATAACGGAACTATAAACATCTGAAATACAAGTGGGAGGTTTAGCTAGATATAAAACTAGATTTAATCCACCATTTTCTTCGGGAAATGCCTGTACCAACTCAGGAATATGACAGTTGTTTTCCATGTTCCGTTGGTTGATATAATCTTGCGTTTGATGTCGACAAGTTTCAAGTTTTATGGACTTTTTTAATTTGCCTTGGAGTACGTTATCTTTGTTAATATTTTTTTCAAAGTGATATCCCAAGAACATGCATATTATTCAAAGCTTGTGCAATTTACTTCAACGTACATGTTATTAATAAAAAAAGTCATTGTCTTAAAAATTTCTCTTGACTGTTGTTTTATTCCCTGTGAACTAGCATTAAAAACCGACTCAGAGTGTTGGTCTTATATAAACCAGGATTCAGATTCATATCACATAGACATGTTCTCCTCCTGATATGCATGTAATAATTGACACTGGACATAACACCAATCCATCCATCTATCTATTCATGAATCAGAGACCAACAATTAATTCTTGCTGATACAAAAACTCTAAAAGAACTTCTGGATAATTTTAAATCTCGATCTTTCTATGAAATTAATTCTATCTAAACTTTAGATTTTTCTACCCAGTATACCAGCATTCTAAATGTGAAATTGAAAAATTGTCTAAAAGAAATAATCCACAATGCTTTTCAATATAAAAATGGTAGCATACGCTATACATTTATTGCTTAGGGATACCATACGGCATATTTTGTTAATAGTGAACAAAAAGGTAAAACACGCTACACAGAGGAACAAGTGATCAGTATGCTGGAGTTTCTTATTGACAACATATTTGTTGAATTTGGAGGTAGACTTTTTCAACAAATTGTCGGCATTCCTATGGGAACGAACTGTGTGCCTCTCCTTGCCGACCTCTTCTTATTTTCATATGAATCGCAGTTCCTTCAGACACTTGTCAAAAACAAGAAGATCAAAGAAGCCAGACTATTTAATTTCACATTCAGATATATTGATGATGTTCTTTCCATTAACAATCCAAACTTTTCTGATTGGGTTCCATTAATGTATTCGCCAGAATTAGAAACAGAGAAACAACAGACATCGCTTCCTCCGCCTCATTTTTAGAGTTATACCTCGAATTTGACATAAGCGCTCATTTCAGTACCAGAATCTATGACAAACGCGAAGATTTTTTATTTTGAAATTATAAATTTCCCCCACCTTAGCATCAATATACCAACTTCACCTGTATATGGGATATATATTTTCCAACTCATTCGGTATTCAAGAGCTTGAAGCTTCTACTAGGACTTTATTACATGTCACCAGCGTCTGGGCAGAAAGTTAATGAATCAGGATTATGTCAAAGAACGTCTCGTCCTTTTTCTTAAAAAGTTCATCGGAAGATACCAAGACCTTGTTGATAAATATTCCGTATCAACTTCACAAATAATACATGATGGTTTTGAAGTATAGATTCTAGGTACTGATGTTGTTTATCATTTTAATAACGTGTTATAGTGTTCTTCATATTTGTCTTTGTATATTTTAAACCTTTACTGTTTAGTCCATTTTTGGTAATATACTTTTGGCGTGGCTCGGTATTTATACATCCCGCCATTGTGTTATTGTGCTTTGGTCATTTTTGTATTCTTGTCTTTCATTTTTGGTTATGTACTTTATCTATAGAGTGTCTATATGCCATTTTGTTTCTCTTTGTTGAAATAGGTATTTGTTTTTATAGTGACTAGGTTTATAACACAATGTTGAGTGCTGTACCCCAATTGTTGACATTTTTACCTATTATGTCTGTTTGTTTTGCTCACACATTGTCAATATAATGGAATTCTCTACGACTGTCGTACAAGTGAGAGGTTTAGCTAGCTATAAAACCAGATTTAATCCACCATTTTCTGCATAAAGAAATGCCTGTACCAAGTCAGGAATATGACAGTTGTTTTCCATTTGATAAAGGACTTTCAGTTTTGAATTTTCCCTGGAGTTCGATATATTTGTTATTTTACTTTTTACACTGAAAACAAATTTTGATTATTCATTTTCACTAAATTTTTAGTTAAATCATGGTGCTCCATAAATAAGAAAAGACTGAATATACATGTAAATTTAAGTGAGCTACTTAACATCTTCATTAGATTAATCCATGTTGAGGTTAAGAAATACAAGGTATTGCCATTTTTTTTTATTTGCTATATATTTCCCATAAATTACCAGATGTTAAACTTTGCAATTTTTGGGGTAATTATGCGTGATGGGTACCTGGTTTTTCCAGCTGACTCTATTACATAGTACAACCATCTCAAGATTTACTTCAATGTCACTGTTTGCTAGATCTATTATTTGCAGAACTATATTCTTGCATGCAGCAGGGGCATCATCTTTGTGTAGGTTTATTTTATTATTTCCTGTTTAATCATATCATATTTACATGTTATTGTCTCGAATATTTATGTTTTGTTTTCCATTTTGCGTAAAGCATCTTCAATAAATCATTCTAATGCAATTTTAATGTAACAATGTTGTTCAATGGCTAAGAGTTCTCATCAAATCCACAGTATGACTATGATCAAATGTTGCAGGGCATTAATTCACCATATATCATGTATTAAAAATCTTAGATGTTTTCTTCTTTAGATATCGATGAATGTCTCCGTAGTCACAATTGTCAGGATGGATGTGAAAACTTACCTGGTACCTATAAATGTACTTGTCAGAATGGTTACCATTTAGCCTCAGATCAGAAGTCTTGTAAAGGTAAAATTTATCAATAGTATCTTATCTTTTGTTGCTTTTTAACATTAGTTCCACAGGTTCGTGCAATATGCAGCAAAATATTCTCTGCTACACATCAAAGATACACTGCATATTATTCTGAAATAGTGTCCAAAACACCTCATATCCAGAAATCAACGCCACTTTGCTTATTTGAATATTATACTAAAGAAATCGGATACGGGTCACGGAAATTATATTGAAATGATAGGGAATTTGGAAAAAATGTCTGTTTTAACTTTGATTTAAGTGATAGACGGGTTTGCCGGGGCAGAAAATAAATATACACAACAATATACACCGTTTAAACGAAATATAATGACTGGCGTTGCAAAAATCAAGGTTCCTGAGCTATTTTAAAAATCGAAGCGAGAGGCTTTTAACATTGCAGTATAAAATACAGGCTAAAATGGCTTAAACGTCAAATTTGCAAACTTCGTGTTGAAAATTGGCTAACAAGGTCATTAGAAATACAGGTTGCCAGGGTGAAACTTGAAACTTGAATGTCCAAAGAATAAGCAAGTCCAAACCTTGTATGTGTAGTGATTGAACTCTAGGTTCCCACGTTAAGTTAAAATGCCAAGAAGAATAAACTCACGAAAACACGAAAAATTCACTAAATTCGCGTTCATTGTTTTGATTTTGACCGCCTGACAACTTTACGGAAATATCAGAGTGATTATAAACAAGGACTCTGTGACAGGCAACTTATAATATCCGTGTTTTAAAGATTTTAATGATATCAAGCCAGTCCAGTTCAAACTATTATCACGTGGTACAATTCTCATTTACATATTATGAATATTAATTAGCAAAAGTACTACTAATTTCTGGCTATGTTTCTCTGAAGGCCAGATGTCACGAGAGAATGACATAGATGTTACGTTTCTAGTGTTATGGTAATTGCATTGTCATTAACACCTAATGGTTCTTATTCTAAAGCTTGTTACGTCGACCCAATTGTTTTCAAGAGAAATCAGTATCAAATATTGTGTTTAACATTCCTTCACACAGTATCTTGTTTTGCACCTTTATACATATTTTAATCGCAAAAGTTATGGTAACCATTTTTGTATATGAGAAAAGTTTATCAATTTGAACGCAAAATTATTTCATACCACATGATTATCTGGGCTTTGGTTATGGGTTATACATAAACCACGCAGATTGTCCTACATAGGACTTATGAATGGAACGAAATTGACGATATTACTTCACACTATGTTGTTTACCTTCAAATTAAAGTTTCATCAAACTGATTTTAGAAAAAAAAACATGGCCTTCTAGTACGTTCTGTTTTAAGTTAAATCTTGAAAGATTCAATGTGATGTAATAAAGAAACTTCTAAAAGATTCTGCAACTATTTACATTATTACAATTACATTCATTATTAAAATCTGTAAACAAAATCAGTGAAGCGTGACCACACTATGTATTGATGTACATAAAATTTGTCGAACACGATAATTAAATTATTAACATATCAATATTGCAATAACAGTACAAATTTCATTTTAATATAAATTAATATAAAAACTACCTTTCAAACAGTTGATTTTCATGGTTTCTAATGAATGTAATCTCAGAAAAGGTAAACTGATTAAATCTGAGGGTATCATGAGCTCAGTAGTCAGTGCTTCGGTATTGGAATGATTTATTACATATTCTTTATAAATTATCCGGTGATAAGTTTCAGAATTATTATACAGAAAGTAAGTTTTAAACTCCCTCATGTAAAGTTGATGGTTGATTTGCCTAATCTTTTTTCTGTGTCTTTTGGTCATGTGGCTTCTCATTATTAAAATATTTAAATATTCTTTGCTTTACATTTTTTTAACATGAGTGTTCCTTTTTAATGCTTATCTAGTTTTTTTTTTGTTTTTTTTTTTTACTTCTATCACTGGACCGATACCGCTGCTGGTTAAATGCTAGGTCCAAAATTGTTCATCAGCCCAGTAACAAGTGCTTCGGTAGTTAGATGATGTCTTTCCTAAACTCATTTCGAAATTATTTAGAAAGTTCCACCTTTCTTAAGCAAAGTTGACCTCATGTGGATGCATTCTTTATTTTAAATGTGTAGTGAACAAACAGTGAACTAACAGTGTTATAATTTTTATAAATAGATGTTGAGGCGGATTGAGGCGACGAGGATTTTAAAATAGGATTTAAAGTTGATGTTGGTCTGACAAAACGGGATAACTCAAACCTTAATAGGTTAAACTTTGTTTTACGACTATTTGCTGCAGGTAACTTATTGAAATATGTAGACAAAGTTAAAAAAAAAGTGCAAGCCTATATAAAATTAAAATAACTATAAAGGAAGAAAATTAACCGATTGTATAGTCATTTGTATTGTTGAAGCAGAAAATATTATTTACTCCATTTTGCTATTCCTTTTCGAATTATTAGGAATGCCTACATATGCATGAAGCTCCTCGAGTTTTCAAGTATGTATAATCTTAGGCTTTCAATTTTTTGGCGTTAAGCGTTCCTGATGACAGCTGTTTTCCTAATGATCAGCTACGTTTGTGTAGCTTTATTGATATATATAGCTAAGTACGTTACTGCTGTTCAATTTGGGTACTTAGTATATAATTATGAACTTAGTAATGTATGCATTATAATTTCATATATTTTAATGTTTGTTTTTTTTTGTATTTTTTACATGTTAAATAAGTATTACGGTTGACAAATGTTGTCTTAAAAATTAAGTTCCAAAGAGTGTTTTTAGTGCGTTTGTATTGAATTTCCTCATACAAGATTTTTTTTGTTTTAGATTTATGGGACAAACGTCCCTTCTATAGAATTCGTCCCAGGTTACTGTGGATTCATTTATTTTCGTCGGTACCAATAATCGTGGCTTCAGGAACAATCGTACTTTCGTAGAAACTTGATTTCGTGGTTTTGCCGAAGTCTGCATACAAGCCTATAGAAAATTTGTACTACCTTGAACATTTGAATTCGTTGTTCACCTTTATCCACGAAATCCACGAAAATTGGTATCCCACGAGTAATAATGAATCCACAGTATTGGGTTGTTTATCTTTTTTTTTACTGCAGTTCCAAAGGCTGCTTTATCTATTTTCATATTGTGATAAATAACAGGAATTTAAGGGGTTAGACTTGGGTATGTAAGACAACTCTTACAAATGTATTTGGAGTCATTATGCGTTTTAACCTAGCAGTAATTGGCACAGTGACTAAGCTCTTTTTATGTTGTTTAGAATGCAGCAACATGTAAGAAAAATTAAGGGATTACATTTTGTTTAAATGATTCAAAAATCAAAAGCTGAATAGGTTTAAATGAAAGTTCATACAGGAAAGGATTCCAAAAAATACTAAGAACTGAGGAGTTTGGGAATTACTGATGACTTCATTTAGATAAATATTGCAACATTATAGGTACTTTGCTAATTTGCATAGCGGTCATATTGCTTTATCATGACGACAGCCATTACAATAGAATTATACATTCCCCTAAAATAAAAATGTCAATTCCTAAGTCGAATCAGCAATTTGTCCGCATATAGGTGAAATGTCAATGTTTTTTGCCTTCTGTTTGTGTACAATTGAACATTGTCTACTTTGAAAACTTTCTGCCTTTTCAGTTTAAAAATAGGAAGTGTAACCGTAGTATAATTGCTATATAAATAACGAAAAATCGAAAAAAGCAAGATTCAAAATAGAAATAAGGATACAAGAAGAGATTGTTCATTATTTGTCTGCATATTGGGACACACCTTGTATGTTGAATTTTCAGGTTAAATAACTTTTATCTTACCTGCCTTCTTAAGTTTTCGGCCAAATTGTTTTAAAAACATGATGATTTCATCCTTCCCATTTCGTAAATAGTCAAATTTTAAGAATTTTCTTTAGAATTACACAACATATTTGTAAATATCCGCCAAAGGAAGTTTTCAAAGACACGTTAGGTTTAGATCCAAGACGGAAAAAGACTGAATTATCCGCAAATTTGAAATAATTTATATTTTCAATCTACAACTAAGGGAAGTAATTTAATCAAAAGGGCCAAAGTCACGTGGTACAAATCAAATGAATAAAGTACCTAGGATTTTGCCATATGCTAAGTAACAGGCTGTACTTAACTGTACGTCTTTGTTTTTCAAAGACACACGAAGATGTGATCTGAACATCCATTCTGTTACAAGCTAATGCTAACATATAACCTAGATTAGCACAAAGATAGTAGATAGTGACAGACTGTGTTTTATTGGATACATTGCATTTAGTATCAGTTGACTAATTACAGGGCAATTGTGTAGTCTTGGGGAAGGAAACCAACGTTACGTATTATAACTTTGATATGTCATTTCGTCTCAAGGGAATTCGTCCCGTACTGAATATTACTGATTTTCTGTATAATCTTTTCCTTAGACTACAGTTACAATATGGACAACACAATTTTCTCTCAAGCAAACAAAAATAAAACATGGACTTTAAAAGATTTCATAGAAAAAAAAAATACGAATTTTGTCAAAAAAAACTTCATTTTTTTATATTTGTAAGACAACTTGTTTGAAGATTTTTTTAAATTTCAAACGGTCAAATTCCATATAAGTTTATGATTTTTAAGATTCATAAACAATAATTGTTTATAGCAATTTTTTGCAGGATTAAATATAACATTTTTGCTGGCAAAGTTTGAAAAATTAAATGTGTTATCATAGGTTTATATCAGCAATGTCTTGGGTGAGTTCGTAAATCAGCGCTGATCTTTTGTCCAGGAGAAAAGTCTCTCTAATATGTTATTAATATTGAACATTGCATTGAAAGGACTCTCACATTGACATTTCTTGTTGAATTGTTATGAAGTTTATATCAAAGGCTTATATCAGTAAGGTCTTGGAAGAGTGCCGACCAACTATTTTACATGATTTCTTCCCCTTTTGTTAGTGATCTCATGCTATATGTTTTGTTTGTCATTGAACTTGGACAGATAAAAAATGCAAATATACATCGGGTGCAAGGAAACTTCAAAATGATAAAAGACTTTTAACCCCCCAAAAAAACTTATAAAACCCAATATAATTTATGTTTCACCAAGTGTTATGAGTGTAACACAGGCTTTGTGTTTTTCTTCATGCATGCAAGTGTTCTCTGTAGTAACTTTTTATTTATTCAATAACTCAAAAGGAATTATTTGTTTTAAGTAATAAGACCATTGAATAAATTCACATAAAGAATTGTGACTAACTGATAGATGTACAATTGTATGTTTTAGTGGATATTGCTTGTAATCCTAGCACCAATTGTCAATACCAGTGTGCTAAAATAGATGGAATAGATACTTGTACCTGTCAGGCAGGATACCAGTTGATGAATGACAATATTAACTGTTCAGGTATGTATTTAGTTTATTCAATTTCTATGAATATATAATGTTTTGTGCTGATGATTTGGCACTGCCTTGTGCTGTTTGGTCCTGATTCTGTGGTGGTTGATTTGTTTACCTCGCTAGGTATATTACAACGATTTTTTATTGCAGAAAATAGTGCAGATTTTCAAAACAATTTTTTCTTATTCTGAGAAAATTCGTCCTGGTTCTGTGCACCTATGTCCTTGTTCTGAGCTGTCATTTTGTAGTAAAAAGTGGCAAATATTTAAGGTCAACGGTGCAGAACATTTATGTAGTTGACAGAAAAGACACCAAGCATATATTTGGATGGGTGAAATATTTCAGATGTTTGTTTAAATAACGGCCTGATTAATGTACAATACAATAAACAAAAAAAATATGATTGACAGCAACAAACGACAACGTACGAAAAACTGCAAAAATCAGCTGAAAAGGGCTATGCCGTGTTATCGTTAATAATAGAAAGCATCCTAAGCTTCTGATTATTACAGAATAAAAAAAACTTACATTCATGTATTTTGGTCTCTGCGTGTTACACATCTTCTTTTAAGCTTTTCTCGTCACTTGTCGTCCGTTGTCGTCCGTCGTCCGTAATTTTTACAAAAATCTTCTCCTCTGAAACTACTGGGTCAAATTTAACCAAACTCAAGGCCACAATCATCATTGGAGTATCTGGTTGAGTTGAAAAAAATATGTCCGATGACCCTGCCTGCCAATTAGACAGGGCAGAAATGTTCAGAATGTTGAGATCTACCTACTGTCTATTTACATCAAAACTTTCAGACGTCTTCTTATCACAGATATTGCCCTTAAATGATCCTTAAATGACGAATTTTACTCTCATATTTTAAAATTTTGCCTATTATCCGTAAACTGCAATAGATAGAGTAAACCTAAGTAACAAAAATGATAAGCTAGACAAGAACAGTCAACATGACCTAAATCGTTAGTTGACTCCTTCTTGGACGTCTTGCCCTTTAATGAAGATTTTTACAATTTTTATGCGTCTTTGCTTATGATTTTGAAAACTATTATAGATAAAGACACTTTATAAACAAAAATAACCAGTAAGACAAGATCAACAAATTAGTCAAATGTAGAAATCGTTAGTAGACTCTTTAAAGGAGTAACTGTCCTTAAATAACGATTGTTATAGGAGACAATTCCCCTTAAATGACCATTTTTTTTACTCTTTTTGTGTTTTGTGCAAAACTAAAGAAAAAAAGTACATAAAAAATCCCCAATTCCAAGGTAAATTCAAAAAGGGCAAGTCCATAAAAATTGAATAAAATCAAACATTATCAACCACCCGAATGAGTGAAAAACAATTGTCATATTCATGACTTGGTACAGGCATTTTCCGAAGAAAATGGTGAGTCAAACATGGTTTAAAATAAAGAAGATAGAGAGAAACTATAGAAACAGAAAAAAATCATCAATAAAATATCAACAAAAAAAGAGATTCTTGTCATGAAGTCTATTCTAGGCTACAATGTTGGAGAGTGTCAATTGTTGAAGATGCACATAGACCAAAGTGAGCGGCACAGGCTAGCCTCTAGTTGTATCAATCATTCAATCTTTTTGTCTAATCTTGATCTTATATATGACTCGAAAATTTAAAATGTAAAATGTTTTGCTTGAAAAATGGTGAGCTAAATAATGACTATACATGGGAAAGTGAAGTTAAATGGGGTGGAGGTGGAGTATAAAATTTAAAAATAAATATCATCCTATGCAAAAAATGCATATTCGGATACACAAATTACAAGCAATGGTTTAACACAAAGTTTGAGGTAATAAATTAGGTGCAGCCTAGCATCCTGGATATCGTTTCTATGACACTTTTGTAAGGTAGTCTTAGGTTCTTTAAATGTCTACTTATTCATCCAAATGAACTTCTATACTGATTCTGTGCAAAAGAAAAACGTGTCCTTCGCAGCTAAAATCGGAATTTTTCCATACTGTTTTTGTTAATAAATGAACGACAACAATATCGTTTAGAGGGAAATAGATGATGCGGGTTGTGGTGAAAGTTGTTAAGTTTGGAAAGGTCTTAAAATTCTACATTTTTGATAGAAAATTATTTTATACAGTTGATTTTGAACAAGTTTGATTACGTCAGATTATGATTTAACCCTGAAAAAGTTTTCCAAGAGGAAAGAGGAACAGTTTTCTGATACTCAAATTACAATCAATACATTTAAACAAACATTGAAGCAAAAGAAATAGTTCAGGCTTTAGTATCTTTGATCTCGGTTTTCCGGCAAGAAGACTTATTTTGTGGTGGACTCTAGTTAGGTCTTTCCACTTACTACCGCAAGACGTTAGTCACAAGTAAATTCAGTAAAGTCGGTATAACTTTATTTATGGTGAGCACTAATAATGAAGAATTTTTCGCCTAATGGACATTCCAGCACATAGTTATAAAATTGGTGCAATATTTGTCAAATGGGATTTCTACATTAACTCGTTTCTCTCGAGTCTTGTAGTTGACAAGTTTGCGTTGATCGTGATTATCGCATCTTCACTGTGTAGCATCACCACCGGATATAGGTACCTCCGAAGCGGTAGAAAAAACAAATTTGAAGTCAGGTATGGTCAAATTCATCTTATTTTCATTATATTCTATGTTTTGCTGACAAGTAAAGTTTTGTGATAGTGATTCCTAATAATGTAGCTACTATATAGGATTATGATCCTTAATTGGCTCTCTCTCTCTTCAAATCGTCAGAATCGGATAGGGTGATACCTGTTCAACGAAGCATGTGACGAGTTCAAACTTGATAAAAACACATTTATCTTTCAACTATTCATTTGATGTTTTCGTAGAACAAGGGTAAATCACATTTAAGCTTGAACAACACTGTATTTCGAAATAAACTATTTTTACACCGAGAAATTCATGCAAATAAAGCAAATAAACTGTACGGCGAATAGCTGCGAATTGTTGTTTACTGTACGGGGATTAGAATATGTACTTTTTGCTATCATTGTTTCTTTGCTTCGGGGGTACCTATACCATTTGGTGGTGCTACACAGTGATCTCGATAGCGTAATCTTCTTGAAGTATATGGTATAACAATGGATTCTTTATATATAAGCATATCTATGCAGTCTCTGTTTTAAATACTTAACCTACGTCATTTTTGAAATTTTAGAAATATACAAGCGTTGTTCGGTTTTAAATTGTATAACTGTAAAGATTGTTTCTGTTAAATCAGAATAAATTGATATGATTCATTTCACTTCATCATAATCATATTGATGAAGCATATCTGTTATCCGAAATATTTATAGATACTTATATTAAATATTTCCTTTTTTTTTAATATTGGTGTTGTTTTGTACACTTTTTAGGCTATATTCAATTTATTTATTGTGTACAGGTATCGTTACTTGTAACGATCTAGTGCCCTCGTAAGAAAGATCGCTATTAATATCTAGACGTTATTTAAGGAATGACTGTAATATTTTTTCTGTCTATGAAGAAATAACATAAAAATGTGGTTATTTCGAAAATTTTTTACAATGATTCCTTATAATTTAATTTTAAATTCCTTTTTTAAGGAGTAAATCATGAAAAAACGTCGATGACGTCACGATCACATGACAAAATCATGTCTATGAGCTGATAGACAAAAAACTTTCAGCCAATCAAAAGACGTATATGTATATATATAGTCAACAAGCAATGACATTCACAAGGAAAGTGGCATGTTTGCTCTAAACACATGACCTGCATCTATCTGTGTAACTCATCGCGTCATTTTTGTGAACTAGGAAGCCACATTTCAGATATTTTTTTTTTATTTAGGTATCCTGAGTTTGATTTCAGTGTATGTGATGATGTTCACTTAGCTTGTTAGATCTGCAGCTTTATTTATCAGTATTTTCCATTTTAGCTCTCTCTTGATGATGCAATATATTTCATTAAAACTATAAATTATTCGCTGTAATTTCCGAACAAGTTAAATTTGTGACTTGTAAATTTACAGGAAACATAATTTTTTGTTAGGTTTTTATTATTCCCTCCCCCCTTTTTGTTGATATAGCCCATCACCTGGTTTCCCTCTCGAAATCAGAGAACAATTTACAGAACAACAAACATCACGTTTTATTGCATGTCTATTATTCCACTTAGTGTTTACGTGCTCAATGATTCTATGTTGATTGTTTATTAAGGTCACATTCGGTAAATTTCGGCACATAACAAGAAAGTTAATTAGCAGGGTAAGTTTTCACTGAATGAAATATTTTTGTCGATAATATGATTTGAATTCGTAATAAATGTAAAAACAAATCATGCATGGAGGACTTAGTTTAGTATACTAGTATATAAATGCATCATTATTATTTCGAGAAACTCGTTTCATATGTACTTAAAAATGGTACTTTTCATCAACTTGCATCGTTCTAAGCTCACCTACCTAGCTCGAAGCCCGGCCATTAGAGCAATTGATATAAATTGGCGTTTGTTGTCGTCGTCGTCGACCTAAACTTTAAGAAAAATCTGTCTCTGAAACTAAAGGGCAATATGATGCTTGAAAAAAAAAAACTGTTTCAGAAAAGAACTTGTCCTGCACATATTCCAAAAATATTTAGGGTAAAGTTCTTTGCTTTGAAATAAGGGAAATGATCAGCAACTTCCGGTTTCAACAAGTCACTGCAGGTGTTCTAGTCTAAACAAACCCACTTCCGGTTTTATATGATATCCTGTATTACACTGATTCGAAAAATATATGGTTTATATCTATTTGAAAAAAGGGAGATAATTGGCTTATTCCGGAATACAAAATGCCAGTGCAGGTGTCATATTATAGATTACATTACACTGATTCGAAATATGTATGATTTCTATTTATACTTTTGCTTGAAATGAAGGATATAATGTGCTACGTCCGGCTCATATGTTAGGTAACTTCATACTGCATCTAAAAATATATATACTTTCTATGAATTTAAACATATATGGTTTCTATGTACTT